TAGGCGGTGCCACCACCTAATCTGGCAGTGCCACCGCCTACACTATTTTAGCTCATTGGTTGGGCTCCAAACTTGGCCCAAACCAGTCCGAACTCGGGCCCAATTGGCCCCTACTTGGGTTATAGGATTAACACCTAATCCTAACCCTAATTAACATGCTAACTACGAATTTAAAGACATTTTCTAAGCTATTACAAAGTCCGCAAGTCAAGGCTTTTTCCGGCGAGCTTCTGGCGAACTTCTGGCGGTCTTCCGATGAACTCTCGGAAACCATTCTGCGGACTCCCGGCAAGCTCCTAGACTTCACGATTTGATCTTGGCGAGTTCCAACGAGCTTCTTCGGCAAGCTCTGATCTTTCTCGGCGAGCTCCGTGAACTTCCAACGAACCTTCCGGTGAGCTTCTGAAAAACCCTTTGGCAAGCTCCCTACTCATTCTCGGCTAATTCCGGCAGCATTCCCGATGAACCTTCGAACTTCCGTCGAACTCTCGAACTCGTAACAAATCCTTCGTGCTTGACTCCGACACTTTGTTTCGCTTTATGTCTTCATCGTTATCGTAGTTAATCCTGCACACACAAGCCAAAACTCTATTCCGATCTAGACAATTATTACAACGCGAATTGACATTCTGTTGCCCGACACGTCATTGGTTGGCCCGATGCCCGACGTCTGAAGCCTTCTGCCATCCAATATCCTAACGTGATCTCCTCCAGCGCAACGTCAATTCCTCCTGCGTTAACTGTCTAATCCTGATCGAGTAGACCTGCATCACTCAAAACTTTTACGATTTCAGAAAACTTATTTCGATTAAAGTCGATTCAACAAGAAAGATTTCAACTCAATCCTTTTCGGAAGAACTTTGAACTTGAAAGCTTTGAAGAAAAGGCTAAGGATATTTGCAATATTGTAAATCACATAAATGAAAGACGTTGGTTTCGTAAAGTCTTCATACGATTAAAGTCGATCTCGGAAGATGATTATGTCAAAGTATATGTAGACGTAGTTAAAGCACAGTAAGGAGGAGAGACAGTTTGCTATAAAGGAAAGTTGCTTAAAGTAAATGCAAATCGAGTTTTTAGAGTTGTTCGGTCAACATGACCTACATCCACTATCGGCTTCCTCCTCTGACGATGTCACTGGCATCTACTAGAGGCCTTCCTTTAATAGGTGAAGGCCAACCATCCTTTTATAGCTTTTCTCCTTTTGCCGGGCTTAAGAGACAACCCTTACAAGTTTCACTCCTCTCTTGAATGATCTCAACACTTAAAAAGAAGGAGGAGAACTCTAGCTTTTACAACACTTTAAGGCCTCAATGACTCAAGATTAAATCAAGTTTTCGTGCCCTTTCATGTAGGAAAGGGTGGGGTCTTTATAGGCCCTAATTAGTTTGAAAATGGAGCCTAAAAGTGTCCAATCCTAGATTTTTAGGATCTTGGCGGTACCACTGTCATTATTGGGTGGTACTACCATTTGTCATCTGACACTGGGTTGTACAATCGCTTAGTCTGGACAGTACTACCGCCTGACAATGCTCGAAGACCGAGTTTTGGCAGTACCACCGCTTGACAGGAGCGGTACCACTGCTGGTAGCAATAACTGTCGATGGTATCACCACCTGACAGGGGCGGTACCACCACCCAGAATTCTTGGGAGACCGAGTCTCCTAGGCAGTGCCACTACCGGCCAGGAATTCAAGGGTCGAATGGACTATTCCATTCGGCCCAATTTGGGTATGTTAAGGGCCTAGTTAGCCCCTAATTAAGTTAGTGAGATTACCTCCCAATTCTCATTTAATCTATAATCTAACTACGATAATTAAGACATGATTACTGCAATTCGTGTTTTGGTACGTCAATCGCTTCTTCCGGCGAGCTTCCGGCGAACTTTTGGTGAACATCTAACGAACTCTTGGCGATGCTCCGGCAGACTCCCAGTAAGCTCCTGGACTTTGCGACGATCTTCTTGACAAGTTCCGATGAGCTTCTATGGCAAGCTCTTGGACTTCTCGGTTGGTTCCCCTAGAACTTTCAACGAACGTCCGAACTTCTGATGAACTCTTATACTCCTAATGTGATCTTGATCTTGACTCCGGCACAATACCTGCTGCATATCTTACTGTCATCGTAGTTAATCTTATATACTTTTATCAACATATAGATTAGATCAACAAATGACAATTTACTTCATTATCAAAATCTGAGATTCAACAGAATTGAGCATGAAATTGAGTTAAAAAAGAGGAAAAGAAAAATTAAAAAAAAAAATAAGAAACTCTCAGGATTTAGGATTACTTCTTCATAGTATTTAAAAGTTTGTTTGAAGGGAAAAGTAAGGTCTAAAAAAGAGAGGCTTGTAAGGGTTGTCTCCTAAACCCGTGAAAAGGAGAAAAGAGTGTAAAAGGGTAATTGATCTTTGCCCATTAAAGAAAGATTGGTAGTGGAAGCTGGTGGCCTCGAGTGAAGAGGAATCAGGAGTGGATGTAGGTCACAACGACCGAACCACTATAAAAATTTGATTTGTATTTCTATTTTGCTCTTTACTTTCATTGCAAATTGCTTTACTTTTACGACGCTTGTGTATGCTTTCAAGTTAAACATATTTCACGTTTTCGGATATCGATTTTTATCGTACAAAAATTTCAGAACTGATATAATTTTTATCGCTGTACAAAAATTTTGTCGACTCGATCCTAACAGGACTTATTCAAATTCTAATTATGTTAAACAGTCTTGATTTATATTTAGTAATTATTTTATGCTTACCAGTTTGATTCCAATCTAGTCTCTTTTTTTTTTCATTTGAGGCTTTTTTTGTTATCTTATCCCTTCAAATTGTGGTTAAATAATTAAAATTATCACATGTGTGATACTTATGATAATCATACTGAAAAAGGCATAGAAGTGTTCATATTGAAGAATGTATAAAAATGTTCATCATTATGCATCCAATTTTTTTTTTTTTATTGTCAACCTAACGATTTGTCTAATTGTGAGCTCATGCCTTCTTCTATTTTTTTATGCTGAAGATCGAAGAAAAGAGAATGTAGAAAAAGTGTTAAAGAATGAAAAAAATGTAAATATCTTTTCTATCTTTTTATGTAGGTGATATGACATGAGTAACAAGACTATGTAGTGTCTTTTATCTACGATATGATGTGGATTTTGTGATCGTATCAATTTTAATATTAACTTTTGGATAAAATGATGTGGATTTTATGATTTTCATTATCTTTAATATTGATGTAAATTTTTTTATCATTAAAATTTCTGGTATGGTTTTAAATTATTAAAAATTGATATGTCATGGAGAAAATTATTAAAAATTGATAGTTTTCGTTGATAGATAGTCTTATCACTAATGTTGTTTTTACTGATAGTCTGTCGATAATATACTTTATAATTAATATTGTTTTCATCTAAATAAGTATTAGTAACAAATTCAAGTAATCGTCAGTAAATTTTTAATATAAATTTTAGTGACATGTCAGTTCATCATCGAATTATTATCACTTTTTTTTAAAAAATTAATCAACAATCAGTGACGGATCTAAGTTACCTTTAAAATTTTTTGTCACATATGGTGATTCATTATCAAATATTATCAAATATGGTGACATTTGTTGATTCATTATCAAATATTATCACAGAAATTATTTAGTCAATTTATTTATTTATTTCGAATGGCGAAATTCGAATGTATTAATCACAAAAATAAGTCATCACTATAATCTATAATTTAGTGACAAGTGGGTCACTAAAAACTTTTTAGCCATGCAACCCAACCCAACCCAACCCAACCGACGGAAGCTGGTGATAGCTCACATCATGATAATTTTCTAACTTTCGGTGATAACTTTAGCACGAATGGTTGCTTTTCTTGTAGTGGAGGTATTAACATTTAACAAAGTATATCATCCCATTTGGGGAAAAAAAAATCAACACCTTCTTTCTTGCAGTACTAAAAAAAAAAAAAGGAATTAATTTGGGCATTGTACCAAAAGTCTTGCCATAGATTAGAAAACATATTATCGGTTGAAGAAATAAAAGAAGATGAAGGGATAAAAGAAACAAGAGAGACCAAAGATTCCTTAGAGCAGATGTCTTTTTTTTGTTTTTCTTTTTTCATTAATAACTACTGTTGTCTATGAAGCATGTGTAATTGTGAATTTTTTAAAAACCATAGTTAAACATTCAAGCTAAAATAATTTGTTTTTTTTTTTTGACAATAGTATACAATGAGAGAAAGATAATTTATGAGGTTGACGTAAACCACTATTAGAATAATAGTGGTGATCAAAAGACAGTGCCAAGGACTAAAAATACAAGCATAGAAGATGTGGATAGTATAATATAGAAGCCTGTACAGTAAAAGAAATAAAGTAAGTAAAAAAACACTCACAAACACAAGCATAGAAGATGTGGATAGTATAATATAGAAGCCTGTACACTAAAAGAAACAAAGTAAATAAAAAAAACACTCTCAAACACAAGCAAAGAAGATGTGGATAGTATATAGAAGCCTGCCTATACACTAAAAGAAATAAAATAAATAAAAAAACACTCTCAAACACAAGCAGAGAAGATGTGGATAGTATATAGAAGCCTGCCTGTACATTAAAAGAAATAAAGTAAATAAAAAAACACTCTCAAACATAAGAAGAGAAGATGTGGATAGTACATAGAAGCCTATACACTAAAAGAAAAAAAATAAATAAATAAACACTCTCAAACACAAAAGAAGATGTGGATAGTATATAAAAGCCTGCACACTAAAAAAAATAAAGTAAATAAAAAAAAAAAACCCTCTCCAATGACAGTTTATAGTTGGCAACCGAAAACGATAGCACCAGTGCTAGTTTCTCCCTCTTGTTCACCTCTGAAAATATTGAGAGTTAACATCGTAACATATCAACCTTTGTTTACATGAAGCAAATGACATTTATCAACAAATAGTAACAATCGATTAATTTTTACTATGTTTACATAAAACCCATAAAGAGTATAACAACGTAAAATATATTTTCTTTTACTGTCATAGCACGAGAAGAAATATTACATCCAGAAAGATATGAAACCAGAATCTCACATAGGAATGTCTCGTAAGCAGTTTAATATGTTGGAAGGGCTTCAATTTTCCTTTTAATAAACCAATCATAAGGCATTTGTTAGAAGAGCATCGCAAAACATGTAGTCAAGTCTCCTCCTCCTGGGGCAAGAGGTACTCCCACTCAACAGCAGATTCATCCTCTTGTTTCCATAGCTTTTGCACAAGATCAGGTTGACTAGTTTGAGTAGCATCTCTTCTTCCTCCTGGTGATGTTCCCATTAAGTTGGGCGCTTGCTGAATACATGCTTTGACAGCATCATGCACACTCACGAAGAACCAGCTTTTGCCAATCAGCTCAATGAGATGTGATCTCGCGAGAGTCATCAGAACCTTTTGGTTTGGATTCGAAATGGCAATCTGCAGGCATTCAGTGCATCGGTTATACCACTGTATCATTTGAGGAATAGAAGAATACTATGTTTAAAGAATACCGACCTGCACCTCATGCAGTTTGTATTCTTGATGCAAATCTTTGAGAGCTTCGACGGCGCTGGAGTCTATATATGGGACAGCTGCAGCAATGCAAGTGTAAGCAGATGTACCAAGGAAGTTTTGTTTACCGGTATGACTCTGATGAAACAACAATCCCAGTATTTGATCTTTGTTGTCTTGGATGGAACTATACCTCTCTTTCCCTCTTTCCTCTATTCTTCATTTGATGCTATGAGCTCTTATATCAGTACTTACATACCAAGTAATTATGAGCTTGTTTGCAGCGAAGACAGTCAACAAGACTAAGTATATGATGATCCAAAATTTCAAATCTTTAGGTGATGTAGGATTCATTTGACTGGAAATTTTTGACACGATGAACTCCACACCTCACCTAGCCTCTGATCTCAGTTATTTCAACCTCATGAGGAACATCACACACATAAAATTTTGTAACAACAATGCATATCCTTAGATGTTTGGAGCAGTGTAATTCCGTGCACTCTCATAGGATAATATGACATGAAGATCTAAAAGTGGACAGGGAGAAGTCTTTTTCGGGACAATTTGGAAATGTCAGAGACTTTTATTCAAGTAATATTCATTGTTCGTAAAGGAACTTTAAGGCTCAGAAGACTTTAGGTGAAGAGCATTATCCAGTGTTTGGATTGGAGATTTACTAGTGGAATGAAGATATTGTAGGACTGATAAAACCATCTCTTATCGATGTCTAACTCATGTGATTGACAATTGAAACATCAAATTAGAGATATCAACTTTTTCTGCCAAAAGAAGACTTAGGGCTCCTCGTGAAAAGTTTGTGGACTTACATGCCATCTCAATGATCACAAAATGTATTCTTGAAGCTTGTGGTTCCCACTTTCTGTTCTTCGAGATAACGAGCTCGAATTCTCTGAGCCTGCAAACGGATTATCATGGATATTGCAGTTAACGTGGAAATTTTGTGAGAAAACAACTTTTGCTCTATAAAAGTAGTTTATGTCATCACCTGTCCTTGAGGTAGCTGATATTTGCAAAATAAATGGGTGCTTCAATTCGAATGACGACAATCCCTCGATACAGACATGCTTCTGGGTATTGGTCGATGTTTCTGTATATGGTAGTTCCAGGAAGCCGACCTAAGATAGCTGCAAGTACTTGACATGATTACATCACTGGAATATATCCATGATATTATGTTGATGATATAATATTGCAACTAGTTCAAGTAGAGTAGTAGGAAAGAATAATGTTTTGCATGATTACTATTCTGCTCGCAGCAGCCATTAATCTGTGAAATAAGTGAGCACCTTTTACAGATTCAGATTTAAAAGTCATAGAAGAAATGATTATGGTTAATAATGTGGTTCGATTCTCCAAGAGTATTAACAAAAGAGACTGAAGTAAAATGTATAATTTCATCTTTATACTGCCATATCCATACAGGATTTGAAATAGTTTTTGCTGACAACAGCTTGTGACATTAATTCTATTTGGGTGGCAATTACAGAGAAAATGGTGAACTCAAATGATTTCTAAACATGCGAAAATGTGACAATCCAATGTCGAGTTACTTTATTATTGTTAGATGTACGAGTGAAATTTTACGGAAAGTTTTAAGCCTACTCACTGATCAATTGAAGCATACTAACCGATGCAAGGATTCGCGGATTCATGAATGACAAATGCAAGGGATGAGAACACCTGCAGTATGTAAAAGATAATCATAATCATAGTTGCAAATCCTTGTCTTATAACTCACAAAGCACTTTTAATTTTCAGAAACAACTAATCCATTATGCATGGAAGATCAGAACCCTGGAATGTTAAGGATTCCAACTCATGCCATGCACAGAGATTTTTCCGGTTGAGGGCTCGGTTGTTCTTTGAATTGAATTTAGCAGTCATAGTATAGAAGAAAGTAAACAACATCAAATATCACCTAGAAGAGACTGTCTACTATATCTTTACATCCTCGTTCAACAAAAATTCCTTTACCATAGTGTCCTTATATAATTATTTTGCATGTTATTATTATTTAAAAATGTTAAATTAAAGTTTATACTTGAGAAAGGGTTGGTTTTGAGTGACCTAATAAACTTAGGGGCCTTGTTAAGTAGGGCCAGAACATGAACTTTTTGGTTAATACATATGCCCATTTCAGTTTTCATCTTCTTTCTAGATTATTTATCGAAGCATATCGTATCGCCATTCGACTTTCATTTCCAACAGTTTCTATTACCCTAAGAATAAGAAAATCGATAAAGTTGCTTTATAATAAAGCATCTTTTTCTTTTTGTTTGTCAAAAATAGGCAACGCATACGAAAGGCTTCAATTATGTAGGCAAATAATTTTCTTTTATGTTCTTTGTCAAGAAAAGCTTCATTAGATTAGACAAAATAGCACCAAAAATGTGTGTAATGTATCAAGAGATTTGTACAACCCATAAGAATTATTAGTGTGGTTTTCATGGTTTGTGAAGAAAACCATAACATAAGGCAGTTGAAAGCTGCAAATAAAATCTTACACCAACAAGCACACCAATCTCGGTGCCAAGAAACAACGTGGCTAAACAGGTGAGCATCCAAAGGAGGAAGTCTTTCTTGTCTACTTGCCACAAGAACATGGCTTTCTCGTAATCCACCTAAAAATAAAACGGAACATATAAATTAGAGTGCAAAACAACTGTGCTGTTAAATCCTTATAGATTTATCATGGAATTATCACTAAATGTTCAAGCACTTTATGATGTCCAACCACAAGATTCACAAATTATTTATGTAACTCACTAAGCGTACAAATTATCAATGCCAAGCTGCAAAACCTTATTGTACATTTGGACTTACAAGACTTATTCCAACAGAAACCACAATGGCAGCCAATGCACACTGAAAAGAAACACAGCCGAAGGAATGTCAGCAGAGCAGAAACATGCAAAATTGTCAATAACACTGAAAAAAAATGTGCAACAATTAGAAAATGAAAATTTCGTAAAAGTCATTAACATGATAGATATGAATAAAGAAAAGAGTCAAAAAGTGATAAAGAGCTCTCTCTGCCAGGTAAAGATGATGTCTTTCTCAGATAAAGCAGGACTGATATAAGTTCTAAGCTAAAGTTTCATATTATATGTGTATATATATATATATATATATATATATATATATATATATATATATATGTATGTATATATCGTAGAACATCTCTTGGATTCCATTTCTTCTCATTTCTTCTACGGTCTGTAACCATGGACAAGTTTGATGGATCCTATAACCTTACCTATACAATGATCTCCCATTACTATGTTGGATGAGTTCTCTTTGTGGTTTATGTGCTCGAATAAGCTTAGTGGATCTTGTATCCTGCCTTTGATCTACGATAACTTTATGATGTTACGTAGCTTGTGTTGCAGATCTCGGTATTCCTTCCAAGAAAAAGTTGTGTTCTCTTTGAAATTAAGATCAAAGTTACCTGAGGTATATCTCTGAACCAGGGTGTTAGAAAAAGAAGTGCACAACCAATTGTAAGACCTGTTATGATTCCAGATAATCCAGTCTGTGCTCCACTCTCATTATTTACAGCTGATCTGGAAAAGGAACCTTGAAAAAACATTTCAATGATCATAAGAGAGAGAAACAATTTCTATCAGTGAAAACAGGGAAATTATAATCATTAGCGCCAGCAATACGATGAACAAAATTAAAAGAGTCACCTGTCGCAGGATATGCTGAGAAAAATGAACCGCAGATATTTGCCATGCCAAGACCAAATAGCTGCAAAAGGAATATAAAGAGCTTTTATCCTTTTTAAGAAGTGAAACAACAAGTTTGTATATCAGCCTCGCTTCAACTTTTTGCATCGAAATCATATTGTGTGATAAAGATGCAGTGTTTTACTGATGAATGCAAATTCCAAGTGTACACTAAGATGATCAGAAGCTGAAAAGATGCTGCAGATCTACTAAGAATTTATCTCCATACCAATGTTTTGGACAATGAATGCCAAGGAGAAGAACCTTTGTTCAAAATCGTAAACGATACATCTCGTTATCAAACGGTTCAAGTTGTTCTACGGCAATGAAAGGAAGGGATAAAAATTACATTGCAGCACATCTTGTAATAATTAACAGTTTCCTATAGTTAGTAACGCCTATGTGGCAATTATGGAAAACCAGAAGAATATTTATTTATCGGTACTTTTGTGTTCTAAATGCCAAAAATATATATATAACAAGTATTGGTAGATAATGAGAGCTGCAGAAAACAAACAGAAGGGCTCCTCAATATACTTCTTGATTAGGGTCCAACTCATAACCATTCTTTGCTGCCAAAGCTTTCGCAATCCCCACAGATTCCTAAAAATTGGAAACTCTTGGTGATCAAAAGAATTAAGAGTGACAGAGAATGACAAGAGGATATCGTACCAAAATGGCCACACCAGTGATCAGAAATGCGGTTGAAATGAGTGATTTCAGATGCTGGAATTCTCTTGGAATATGAAAAGTCGGCAAGCCTTGAGGTATTTCACCTACCTAAGAACGATGACAACATACCAAATGCTATAAAAAATGGTTAATGAAGAAGAAACCGAATGATCTCATCAAGATCGGGGAGAGATGCGCCACCACAGAAATTGAAGATGGATGGAAGGATTTCACAAAAGCTGTGCCGAGAACGACTGCCGTGAGTGGCCCTGATGATCTGAGGAATCTCAAATTCTTTTTCGTTTTGCCCTGCAAAATTTGAGTGAGATGAGACATCAATCTTTTTACTTCAACGCAAATGGGATTGGGGAGTGTCCAAGTACCTACCAAGTGCTTCATGAGAGTGATCAAGGTGAGAATGACAGATCCCATCAGAAATGGGGACCAGGAGAACTGCACAAACAAGCATTAAACAGGAATGAAACGAAAAGCCATCGTTCCTCGGAAGAATAGTAACTGCAGTGATTGGAGGATGAACGATTACATCACTGGCTCCAGCGATGATACTTTCTGTCAATGGAAAGATTCTGCTGCTCTGAACGATGTCGTACCCCAGGAAGTATTTTGCTTGGGACAAAGCAATTATAATGGCCGAGGAAGAAATAAAGCCGGAGATCACAGAGTGGCTGATGAATCGAAGTAGCCAACCGAGTCTGCAGCAGCAACATAACAAACGGTGAGAGTAACGTTTCCGACGTATGATTTCAACACAAGTCGTCAACAAACAAATTACACATCGAACCGAGAGTTAGAAATAAAGCCCAAACAAAAGCAAGGTTATTCCCATTACCTAATATGTAAATAATAATAGATTATTAGTGTCAAAGCGTTATATATTACTTGCTAAAATAAAATACTGTTGTTTCATGTGAAGAAATAAAAAAAAAAAAAAAGAGTCCGAAACCTGAGAAGCCCCAACAGACATTCCAACACTCCAACCATGAACGCCAGTAAGATGGCAAGCTCCGTGTACAGTTCATCCGAGGGATCCACGATGCCACCCAAGACGTTGGACACGAGGAGCGACACCAACGTTACGGGACCAATTGCCAGCTGACGAGACGAGCCGAACACGGCGTAAACAAATATGGGAACGAAGCCGGAATCTGTGGACACGAGCTGTTAACGTTAGATGCTGCTGCTGCTGCTGCTGCCACGGCGGAAGGAGAGAGAGAGAGAGAGAGGAGAGAGTTGTGGACGCTCACATAGCCCGTAAATCGGATGCAGACCAGCCAACTTAGCGTACGACATCGCCTGCCCATTTTGACATCATCAGTTTACTACTCCGTCCGATTGATTCATATTTATATTTTAGGAAATGCATATGACATTAAGCGTATAACCATGCCATGTTTTAAACTCGAGTATCTATCGTGTGCCTAAACGCTAACATGCTGTGCCGATAAACATATCATATCATATGTGCCGATAGACTCGAATATCTATCCTTCATCGGTAACCCGCTGAGATCAATTTTTTTTTTTTTTCGCCTTGGATTTTGATATCCTTCTTTTCGACGATTCTTTAGAAAAGGAGGCACGCATTTTAGTTTTCATTTTGATGAATTTTTTTTTTTAGAAAAGGCACGATTCTTTAGAAAAAAATAAACACTAGTCACCTTTTTTCCTCCTTTCCGAATCTAATCTTCCCTTTAATCGAACCAGATCAAACCATTTAGACCCATGCTTTTTATGTGGGTTCAAAGTGGATATTACGCTCTGGCAGTTAATCGAAATAAATAATGCTCAAATGGATATTTGGATTGGTAAAAATAAAAAATAAGAATAATAAATTAAAATATAAAAAAACATATCAAGTATAATAACGTAAATACTACTCGTAAATTATTATGTAAAAACAATAATATTCAAGACTAAAGCAATAAACTATTCCATGTTAATCAAGACCATATAATAATACATGAATAAATGATAACATTTTCATTAATATTTTAATAAAATTAAATTAAATGATTTAACATATCAAAAGGTAATTAATTATATGCACCATATCAATTTACTTCATACTTAAGTCCTCATTTCCGTATTTTAATATATTTTAAATTAATAAAAATATTAACAAGAACTCAAATTAAATATAAAAATCATGAAACATATAATATAAGAAAATATCTATAAATGGTTTTTATTTATTTAAGTCATCTGGTCGAACTGTTTTCAAATATATTACATTGGTTTCGTAGAATGTGGATCCAAAATTGGTATTGAATTTCGGGTCAATCAACCACTTGTGGATTCTAATAACACTGGTATTGAATTATTTTTTTAAACAAAAAAATAATAATACAATTATATTTTTAAAAAAATATTTAACAAATTATTTTAAAAAATATTGATATTTTTTATGTTAATTTTTTAAAAAAAATTATTTGAGTTTTTTTAATGATATTTCAATTAATTTTGACACACTTCGATTTAAATTATGTTAAAATAGTGAAAGATTAAAAGTTTACGTATGAAATGAATTTATATTCTAAGACGGATACCAGCAGATAAGGTGTATATTAATTATTGCTTTAACTTTTTACTATTTTTAAGTTTCTACTTTTTTTATAATATAATATAATATAATATAATTGATTGAAATATTATTATTTTATGATTTGACATAGCACCGTGATCCCACCTGTTTTGAATTTTAAATTTGTTTTATATTTTATTATTTCGTATGTTTTTTTTTTATAATCTTAATCAGTGATAAGCTTTTGCTTTTGTTTTTGTTTTTTTAGTTTCGAATATTTAAGCAGAGGATTAATAGAGAACTAAAAGAGAAATTGAAATATAATGACATCCTAACTTGATAATTAGGATATCGATCAAAATGCATCAATGAGCATGGTAGTCGTCCCTGTATCACTCGACATACTCATTCAAAACTAACCAACAATAAGATGGATGATGATTTCACCTGAGGCACGAGCATGACACCGACGGTGACCCCAGCCGTGAGGTCCAACTCCAGATAGTCGCCGGAACGATACCTACAGATCCACCGTGTGCAGGGGAGCAACATCTCTAGCCACTCCGTGGCCGTCATGGCCTTCAGGCTGGACCACCACCGCGACACCGGAGGGGCCGAGGAGGAATGCAGTGACGGCCATGGCCGCTCCGACCGGACCTCCCAAGCCGCCATGTCCATGCCGACGACACCGTCGGCGAGATCCAGATTACTGGAGGTGGCATACGTTATCTCCATCAGTCACTCCTGCACCCGACTCCCGTCAGCTGCAACCACGCTTGTTATAATACTACTTACTAGTTGGGGAGATGATGCTTCTTCGTATACTACGACGCATCGTGTACGCATCAATTTACCCAAGTACAAACATGCTTTCAACATGGCGTCTGATCCACTTGATCTTGTCCAATAATGCTATTAGTTTATGTTCAAAAGCTTACCAATAGACACCAATGATTTCTGTATCGACGGCTTTGATTTGGCCTTTGCATTGATCCGGAAAAAGAAAGAGGTAGAACAAGTTATTGGGGAGTGGCATAATTTATCGATTACTTTCTGTGGTACTGTCGTGGCCTAAATTAATCGTCGGACGGAGTCACCACAAGTATCCAATAAATTAAATCATAAGTCTAAAATCGGACGGACGTATCGTTAAAATCCATTAAACACCAAATGTGTACCCAAGTTAATAAAATATATCATGCCGAATCTTAATTGAATTTACCTGACATCAACACAACAGAATAAAAAAAAAAAAAAAAAGGAAGATTTGACTCGATAGTAAAATGACAAGAAGAATTAAGTTCGTCCGTATTACCGTTGCATCTGATCAATCACTTAGTCATTGATCCTCACGCGCATCTCATCACGATCGGCCACATTTCATCGTATACCTCAGCCAGCATCGACAACAATTATGAAAATCTTTTTAAAATCTACATCAAATATAGGCAAATTAATCAAACAGGGAAGAGCATTAACTGATTAGCTTCACCAACTTTTTAACCTGTTCTTTAAGCAAATTGACTCTCACCAAAACAAAACAAAACAAAAAAAATCTGAAACATGTAAAAGCTTTCGATCACCAGAAATCCTTGCATGAACACGCACCATTTTCGAAACAATGGAAACGATTCCTGTCCCTCACTACAATCTCTCTATCATATACCTTGGAGATAAACTTAAAAGCTGCATGGCAATCCCCACAGACACGCAAGTTCTTCACAATCCTAATACGTGTTCCGGGAGGGGTCTTCAACAAGACAAAAGCAACGGCTAACTTCTCACTGTGCCAATGCAGTGCGTCCTCCTTGTCCTCTTCATCAATGTCGAGCAGCACCTCCGTCTTCCTAGGAAGGTAACCTGCTAACTTTATTTTCCTCCCTATCTCCTCCAACATCTCATAAACTCCCCTGTATTGCAATTGCGACTCATCTCCAGCAATGAACTCGTATATCTCACCATTCAGCTCCACCAAACTACATCCCGGTACCTTTCTGATCCCACGCTCGCTCATGGCTCTCCTAGTCTCCCATTTCTTTTGCCATTGTCTTCTCAAAGCGTACAAGTTCGACAAAACCACATACGTTGAATCCTGCACCGGATCCTCCTCAAGTAGGTTCTTGGCGATCCTCTCACCAAGCTCCAGCCTGCCATGCACACGACAAGCACCGATGAGCATCCTCCAGATCACCGGGCTCGGCTCCATCGGCATTGTTCTGACAAACTCCAGTGCTCGTTCAACCATACCCACTCTACTAAACAGATCAACCATACATCCATAATGCTCGATCTGAGGCTCGATGCCCAAGTCGCTCTTCATAGAATCGAAATAGTGGCGGCCCTCGTCGACCATGCCGGAATGACAACAAGCAGTGAGCACACTGATAAATGCCACGCCGTCAGGAACCACCCCGGCACCCTTCATCATCTCAAAGACTCGAACTGCTTCCTTGCCACGCCCGTGTAAGGCGAGGCCATCGATCACGGACGTCCACGACACGATGCTCTTTGCATGCATCTGCTCGAAGAGAGCCACCGCCCCATCGACGTCCCCACACTTGGCAAGAGCGTCCAGTAGTGCGTTGCACAAAGGTAAAGCCTTTGGAATGTTTTCCCTTTCGACATAAGACCCGAGCCATCTCACGAGTTCGAGCGCCCCTAGGTCAGCACAAGCAGAGAGCACCAATATGACCGTGATCTCGTCGGGTTGGATGCCTCTGCCCTGCATCTCACGAAAGAGAGCCACAGCTTTGTCGGAGAAGCCCGACCGGACGTAGCCCCCGATCATCGCACTCCACGTGACAGGACTTGTCTTGGGCATTCTATCAAACAATTCCCGGGCAAAATCGAGACTGCTGGGTGCTCCCGAGTACATATGGATGAGTGTGTTCTGGACGTACTGATCAGAGCTATACCCATATTTCACAACACATGCGTGGACTTGGGCTCCGACGCTAGTAGGTTCCGGCAGGCTGGCACAGGCCTTGAGGAGGAAGGGGAAGGTGAACTTGTTGGGGAGCAACCTGCAGCGGAGCATGGCGGAGAAATAAGAGATGGCCAACCGTCTTTCTCCAAGGCGGTCGGACTGGGCATGGGAACGGATGACGGTGTTGAATAGGAAGGCGTCGTAGAGGTGAGTGGAGGCATGGGGGGAGAAGAGGAGGGACGTGGCGACCTCGAGGGCGTCAAGGGAGGAGGAAGCGGCAGCAAATTTGGTGAGGACGAGGGGGTTGGATTGGAGGCCGGATTTGATGATGAAGGCGGTGGTTTGTAGGAGGTGTCGTAGGGAGATGCAGGCTTGGAGGAGCGCAAGGCAGGTTTGCTCTGCTGCTCTGCCTCTGCTGGGCGTGCTGGGAAGGGTATGGGAGACGAAATGAAGGGAGCCTTTCAAATGTTTCTTAGAGGGTGGCATCATTTTCGTGTGATGATCATCCTACTTTCAGACAATAGTGCACTGTTTGTGCTATTTGTGCATCTTTGGCATGCCTGCGCTCAATCTATCACATTTAGGTTCTTAACAAGATTGATTGAGTTGAGAATTGAACTCAAATCTCTCAATCTGGGCAGTCACAAGCGAAAGAGGTAGCAGCATAAGGTCCATTTTCTTATAGGTTAGACTTCCAAAAGCAACACTTGCCAGTGATTTACATAAGCAACAAGTCTTCGTGATAGGATATAAAGAGAAATAAATTTTGGTATATAAATAAATACTAGTAGAACATCAAGATATATGTGAAAAACCTCTCCAATATTAAGGGTAAAAATTATGAGACAAACTAGAGATAATCCACTGTAAAAATAATAAATATACAAATCTAAATCTCTTGTCCAAAATTCTAACAATAATCACAAGAGAATAATTGGAATACAAAGATTACGTCACTGTGCACAAAATTCTAAATCCTTCCTAATTCTCCCCAAGTAATCACAGTAAGAATCTACTGTAGATTTGATCTAACCTGAGATAAGAACGCTACTGGATGATTGAAAATAGTCTCTTTACGTTGTCCTTATTTTCTTCCCTTTTTTTTCTTTGGATTTTTATCTTTTTCTCCTCATTTTTGCTGCTGCAAAAGATCTCATATACTACCCTCGTTGCTGCTTTATTTATATACTAAAAAACATAGCCCCCGCACCCCTTTAACTTTAATTTAGGGTTAGGTCAAAAGGGTGGGCTGTGGGCTGATAAAGCCCACCTTGGGTTGAACAAATGGGATGTCAGCCCAACAATCTCCCCCTTCAGCCCATAAGGGAGGTTGTCCTAAGACTTCTCAATGTGAAGCCATGCCGATCGGTTGTTGGCATATCTCCTGTCTTTCTTTTGGTAAGGTTTTTGTCAACATGTCTACTCAGTTGTCATCTATGTGAAATTTCTGAAGCTACAACTATTTTTCTTTAAATACATTTCGAATCCAGTGGTTTTTGACATCTATATGTTTTGACTTGGAATGAAATATTGGGTTTTTACACAAATGGATGACACTCTGACTGTCACAATGCACCACATAGTTTTCCTGTTTTAGCCACAATCCTTGTATCTTTCATCCATAACATTTCTTTGTAAACCTTTGTAGCAGCAATATATTCTACCTCTGTGGTGGAGAGAGCAATACACCTTTGCAATCTGGATTGTCATGACACAGCTCTCTTTATAAAAGTAAGTACATAACCTGATGTGGACTTCCTCGTATCTATATCTCTTGCCATATCTGCATCTGTGTAATCTGTCAACACAGGTGGTCCACCTTCAAAGCTTAAACAATCTTTAGAGCTCACTCTGAGATATCTAAAAATCCACTTCACTACTGTCTAGTGCTCTTTGCCTGGATTTGTAAGAAATCTGTTAGTAACACCAACTGCATATGCGATGTCCGGCCTCATATATACCATTGCATACATTAAACTTCCAACTACTGCAGCATAAGGAACCTTTTGCATTTTCTCCTTCTCCTCAACACTTGACGGACTCTGTTCTAAGCTCAACTTGAAGTTACTTGCAAGTGGAGGACCAACTGTTTTTGCATTACTTATATTGAATCTTTCCAATACCTTCTCGATGTATTTCTCCTGTGATAATAAAATCTTCTTATTTTTCCTATCACGAAAAATCTGTATACCTAGTATTTGTTTTGCTGGCCCCATGTCCTTCATTATAAAAGACTCACTCAATTCCTTCTTCAACCTGTCAATTGTAGATATATTTTTCCCAAGAATAAGCATGTCATCAACATAAAGTAAAAGAATAATAAAATTCTCACCAAACCATTTGATGTACACACAATGATCTGAAGCTATTCTTTTGTATCCATTTTCTATCATAAATGAATCAAACTTTCTATACCACTGTCTTAGAGCTTGCTTTAGCCCATATAAGCTCTTCTTCAACATACAGGCAAAGTTCTATTTATCTTTGACTTTGAAGCCTTTTGGGTGCTCCATATAAATTTTCTCCTCCAAATCACCATGAAGGAAAGTTGTCTTCACATCTAACTGTTCAACCTCCAAGTCCTGGCTAGCAGCAACACAAATAGAAGATATTTGAATAACATGAGAAAAAATCTCTTCAAAGTCAATATCTTTCTTTTGACCAAAGCCTTTCACAACCAATCTAGCTTTGTACTTTAGTTAAGAACAATATTCTTGAGTTTTTAACTTAAAAACACACTTGTTCTTCAAGACCTTCATTCTATTTGGTAGTAGTATCAAATCATAAGTGTGATTCTTCTAAAGAGCATTCATCTCTTCCTATATATCAACTAACCGCTTCTCTTTCTACTCACTTTCAATTGCTTCCTAGTAACTCTCTAGTTCACCTGCATCAGTAAGCATCACATACTCATATGTAGAGTATATTTTGGAAGGTTAACGTTGTCTAGAAGATCTTCTCAACTGAGGTTCTACGGGAAGTTACTCTCCAACTTCTTCTTACTCAACATGTCCTGTAAGTAGATCAATATCAGGCTCTATACCATCTTCCTGCACATCTCCTCCATCACCTTGATATACTGGAGGAGTAATTGGATCACAATCAATTAATCCTTCTATAGAAGTCTTGGCTGGTGCATTCTTCTTCAAATCCTCAAAGGTTTGATCATCAAAGAAGACTACATCTTTGTTTCTAAACACCTTCTATTTTTCTGGATCCCAAAGCCTGTAACCAAAATGATCATATGAGTAGCCAAGAAAAATACATTCTTTAGTCTTACCATCTAACTTGGACCTCTAATTGTTTAGAATATGTGCAAATGCACAACAACCAAACACTCTTAAATGCTTGTAGAAAATATCTTTCCCTAACCATACATGCTCTATAAAATCACCATCTAGGGCTATATATGGTGACAAGTTGATCACATCAACTGCAGTTCTCAAAGCCTCATCCCAAAACCTTTTAGGTAGCTTGGCCTATGAAAGCATGCATCTGATCTTTTCGATAATGGTGTGGTTCATTCTATCTGCAATAGCATTATGCTGAGGTGTACCAAGAACTATCATCTTATGTTAGATACTATGTGACCTGTAATAATCATTAAATAATCTTGTGTACTCATCACCATTATCTGATCTTATGCATTTCAATTATCTTTTTGTCTCCCTTTCAACTCTGGCATGAAACTCTTTGAAGACATTAATAACCTGATCTTTGGTCTTCAAAACATAGGCCCAAACTTTCCTAGAAAAATCATCTATAAAAGTGACAAAATAAAGTACACCACTTATACCAAGAATATCAACAAATCCAGCAGGAGTTTTTGTCCTCAAATGACCACATACATTTGTATAAACATGGTCTAAGGCATGTATTTTTCTAGATATAGCAAGACTAGCAAATGAAACTCTGTGTTGTTTACCAGCCAAGCAATCAATACAAGGGTTCAGATGTATACCTCTGAGGTTTGACAATACCTCTCTCTTGGAAAAAGCTTGCAACCCCTTCTCTCTCATGTGTCCCAATCGCCTATGCCACAACTCCATGCTAAAGTCTTTCTCTATAGCATTTAACTACTCACCATAAGTTTTGGCCTGTAACTTGTATAAGGTGTGACATTTCTTTCCACTAGCTATAATAAGAGAACTCTTACTGAGCTTCCATTGCCCTCTGTGAAATCTGCTATCGTAGTCTCAACATCTAGTCTTCCAACTGAAATTAAATTCAGTCTCAAGTCAACCACATGCCTCATATCCTTAAGTACCAACTTGTAGCCAAGGTTGGTTTTTAAATGGATATCACCCATGCCAATGATGTCTGATGTGTCATAGTTGCCTATCTTGACAACACCAAAATTTCGAGACCTGTATGTAGCAAAAAACTCCCTATGTGGTGTAGCATGATAAGAAACACCTGTGTCAATCACCCACTCAAGATCCTGATACACACAAGAAAAAATATCATCAGAAGGAGATAAAATCAAATAATCATCACATTGCACTATAGCTGTGATATTATCTTTTGACTATGTAGACTCAACTTCTTTTCCCTTTTTCTTGCTCTTCTTAGGTTGCTTGTATTGGTTCTTGTAATGTCTTTTCTCACCATAGTTATAGCAAACAATATCTTTTCTTGATCTTGACTTGCTTCTACCCATGCATGAACTGCTTCTAGACTTTGACCTTCCTTTGTTCTCTGAGATAAGTGCCTATGAATCATTCTGAAACATTGTTAAATTCTTTCGTCTCAACTCCTCATTCAACAAACTGCTTATTACTTAACTCATAGTCATAACACTATCAGGTGCAGAATTACTGAGGGAAACCACTAGTGTCTCCCAACTTTTTGGTAATGAACTGAGAAGTAACAATGCTTGCAACTCATCATCAAGAGATATTTTCATAGAGGATAACTGGTTAGTAATACTCTACATTTCATTCAAATACTCGGCAATAGAAGCACTCTCTTTATATTTTAGGTTCACAAGTTTTCTAATAAAAAAAGCTTTGTTGCCAACTATTTTTCTTTTATATAGACTTTCTAATTTTTTCCAAAGAGAATATGTAGAAATTTCAGTAGAAATATAGTGAAAGACACTATCATCAAGCCATTGTCAAATAAATCTAACTGTTTTTCGATCTAACCTATTTCACTCATCATCTATCATAGTTGTGGGTTTTGTACTATCCCCCTGCAAAGCTTCGTACAAATCTTTGCAATATAAGATATCTTCTATTCTTGGTTTCTATATCATCCAATTGTTTCCATTCAAACTAATCATACGAGAAATACTATTGGCCTCCATGTTCAAATACAAAAATTAAATCACCACAACCCTGCTCTGATACTAATTGATACGATATAAAGAGAAATAAACTTTTGTATATAAACAAATACTAGCAGGTCATAACACATAGCAGAATTAAATGAAATCATAATAAAATAGAACACTAAGATATACGTGGAAAACCCCTCCAATGTGAAGGATAAAAACCACAAGGCAAACTAGAGATAATCTACTATAAGAATAATGAATATACAAATCTCAATCTCTTACCCAAAACCCTAGCAGCGATCATAAGAGAATAACTAGGATACAAGGATTACATCACTGTACATAAAATTCTA